GGCAGGGGCGCTCACCGCAGCCCCCACCGCCCCACCCCTGGCATTCCCCTCCCCAGGGCACTTCTGCTTTTTTCTGTGTTGCAGAGAGAAAGAGTGCGGGCGAGAGAAACTGCTGGGTCCCAGATGCCACTGGGTCCCAGGTGCCACCGGGTCCCAGATGCCACCATGCCACCGACGGGCTGAGGGGCGGGGCCGGGACAGGGTCTCACCAGGCTCCCAGGCAAGCAGCCCTGGCTCCAGGGTTTCCCAGGGCTGGGGGACGGCGCTGCTGAGGGCCAGGGGCCTCCTCTCTGCAGCAGGCAGCCTGTGTGCCCGGCCCACCCTCCTCATGGGAGGGGTGGGTGGTGCGGAGCGGTTCCCAGCCCGTCCCCGGTGCCCACAGGCCGGCAGGCTCTCCACTATCAACATCGGGGCCGGTAGTGCTTTGTGGTGGGGGAGGGGTTGTTCTGTGCACTAGGGGATGTGCAGCGTCACCCACAGCGTCCCCTGCAGGCATTAGGAGCGTCCCACCCCAGTTGTGAAACCAAGAATGTCCCCTTTGGTGAGACATTGTCCTGCTTGGGGACCCCCGGGGAGGTCTGGCCTGACAAGCTGCAAGGGGGGGACGCTGGCGGGTCTCCGGGGGCAGGAGTCCAGCGGGAAGGACCACGTTTTCGTTTCCCGCCCGTGGCCGACCGTGGCAGCGTGGGGGCTGGAGGGCCGAGCCGGCCAGGGAGGCAGACACCGGCGCCCGTGAGCCTCGCCCCCTGGCCGCCCGGACAGCGCTTCCCGAGGTGGCCGGGGAGGGACAGAAGGCAGGGCCTCTGGCGCTTTGGGGGAGCTCGTAGGTCCTTTTGTGGCCCCGGGGCAGCCGAGGCGCCTTGTGCACGGTCTTCCCCGAACAGCCTGGTTCTGCAGCTTCACACGCAGCTCGTGGGTCTGTTCGCCCGCCTCTGTCCCGCCAGGTGGGTGGCCGCCCCGCAGCGAGAGCCCGCCGTCCCCTGCTGTGCTCCCCCTGCAGCGGGGGCCCGCCATCCACCGCCGTCCTCCCCCCTGCACCAAGGGCCCCCCCCCAGGTCAAAGAGAAGCTGGTGACCACGCGGCCTGAGGCAGCATCTGTCCCCCTCCCTCCCGCTTAGGAAGAGCACCGGCATCAACACAGAGATCACGTGCTCGGGTCTCCCCTGCAGCCGGGCCGGCCGTGCGCTCCACACGGCACAGGCGGGAAAGCCGGGCGCCTCCTTAAAGGGCGGGGGCCCCACCATCCTCCGCTTTCCTCCCTCTTGACACGTGGTGTGAAGGCTGGAGCTCAAGCATCCATCTTTGCCTGTGAGGTCAGGCACGGGTTTCCCAAGGCTCTGGATGCCCCCACCTCAGCTCTGAGAGAGAAAACCCCGTGTGTGAAGCATGATTACCCGTGGCGGTGGGGCCAGCCTGTCCTGGGCTGAAGGAGGGTTTGTGGTTCACACTGGCATGTGGCCTGGAGGCCATGAGGCGTTCAGAACTCTCGGGGTGGCCCCTCTCGAAAGCCCCGATTCTCCCCCGGCCTCCGCCCTCTCAGGGCCACTCTGCTCGGAGCTGCTCTGAAAACCCCTCTGGGCTGTGTCGGGGGAACTCCCGTCCTTTTATGAGGAACCCCCAGCAGCCCCCTGCCTTCCCCTCCTCCACCGCGAAGGCCGCAGGGAGAGAGCGGGGCAGGGGGGGGGGGGGGCGCGGGCAGGCGCTGAGGAGCCGGGAAGCCTGCAGCACCTGTTGGGAGTGACCACGTCAGGGACCGGGACCAGCGTCCACAGGCAGGTGGATGCCTACGGGGGGAGGGGGGGCTTGCTCCACGTGGCACGGGCCACCGATGAGCGAATGTGCCGTGATGACACGCCTGCAGGGACAACCATATGGTCAACCCCTCAGGCGGCGTGGGCGACCGGCCAAGGCTGGGACAGCTTGTTCCGAGTGAGGACGGCGCTTCACTGAGACACACCGCGGGCACGAGGAGCCGCACGCTTGTCCCCCGGGCCCCAGCAGCGTCACCCAGCGCGCACCGGCACAGGCACGGACACGTGAGGTGTGGCCCGTCCGCGCGGGACCCGCTCCAGCACGGGCGAGCCCGAGGACACTGCCGAGTGACACGCGCCGTCATGGGAGGACAAGGCCCGAATGACCCACAAATAGAAGTTCCTGAGCGGCTGGATTCGCAGGCACAGACAGTAGAGTGACGCTCGCCAGGGAAGGGCCGCTTGTGCTTCACGGGGACAGGGATTCAGTCCCGGACCTCGAACGTGTCCTGGAGGTGGTGGTGGCAGTGGCTGGTGTGAACACAGTTAATGCCCCTGAGCCACACGCCGGAAAGTGGTTCTAACTGTAGCTGTTATGCTGCGTGTAATTTACCACATTCACACGGATCCATGAGTCCTTCGTGAGAGACAGAGACTCCGAGTCCTCAGCGCCTCTGGAGAGCATCGCCAGAGGACACGTGGGTGACGATGCCTCCCGCACACGCCGGCCAGGAAAGGTGTGGAAGCATCTCATAACGGGAAAATCAGCACTTGACAAGGCGAGTGAAATGTTGCCTTTTGCCTTCCTGGCACTCGAAGTGACACTAAGGCTCCCAGGGCGGGTGAGGAGGGGAAGGAGGAGAGGTGAGGAGGGGAAGGAGGAGAGGTGAGGAGGTGAGGGGGTGAGGGGATGAGGTGAGGGGGTGAGGTGAGGAAGTGAGGAAGAGGGGAGGAGGGCAGGTGAGGAGGGGA